GCTAATGTGGTGTAGCAACTCGAACTGACGTACGTACGTACGAAGTTCTATGTTGTTGCTGACTGACTGACAGTCCCATAGAAGCCGGTGACCAACGATTGGTTCATATGCCATTTGTTCCCGCAGTATACTGGAGCCCATGTGCACCATTGGTTTGGAATCCGGTTAAAGCGCCGGACATCCGCTTTTTGCCCTCTCAATTCGTAAACAACACCCCCACACGAGAAGGCAGTGAGTAGGAATTCCTGTCAGAGGCTGTGTACGCGTGATCGTGTGAGAGTATTTCAAGAGGGAGAGCGGACTCCCCCACGCTCGGCCGTACCAGGGCATTTGGGGACGAATATCTTAAATCAATGACAACAATGTAATGAATAGGCAACCAATAATATACGTTACATACACACTGTACTTACTTTAACTCGTTTTTCAAATGGTATAACAAATGGAACTTTTTCAATAATAAGACTTGACGTATTTGACGATTGGATAAAGAAAATGATTCTAGTACCACTGACATTTAAAAGAAAAAACAGACAAACAAATATGTATTAGAAATTATTTTGCTATAGAAACATTTTGAGATAGACAAAAAGAGTACTACAAGTATCATTCTATTGCTGAAGGGAATTGAGAGAGTGCCTTTGTTCAATATACCTAGAGTCTTATGTTACTTGGCTCTATTCAATAAGTTGTACCTGTAAACTTAAGGAAATCGATGATCCCTGTAGGATTCATACCCGCTTAATTCAATTTGAATGTCAGAAACATCTACATACTGAGAGCTAGATAGGTCAAAATTGAATCCTTTTAAGGATTGAAAGTTGAATGTACTTAGTTGGATGTGGGTGATTATTACTTAGGACAAGCCAACTAACTAATTAATCAATGAGTTCTCAAATAACTTAAGTTTGTGACAACTAATTACTGTAAAAAATCTTCTCAGACCACGCAGCGAGCGCTTAACAGGCCGACCACTGCACTGACACAAATGATTCACATTTATAACTTTAGTCAGTTTAACTCTCTACATATCTAAACTCTAACAGTCACGACTTCTCACTAGAAAACTTCGAATTCAATCCTCAGTGGAATTCTGAATATGTACTGCTGAGGAATCCCATACTAGGACAAAACGGCTGTGCATTACTTACTGGTTTTCAATGATTATTTAACTAACTTCAGTCAATGATGCCTCTAATCAATATAATATGACAAATAAATGACACTAGACCAACCTTGATTTCGATCTGGATTCAAAATACTATAATAACCAAACGGTGCACCAGCTAATGCCAATGTACTTTGATAACCTTGATTTTCAAACCATGAAGTTTGTGATTCTGTAGTATTTAATAAATCAAATAAGTTATCTTTCAACCAAAATGTTTGACTAAGACTTGGTGTGCCAAGTGGTAGACGTGGTGAATTGGTTACGCGTGCAATATCAGTTGATGAGGATGATGATGAAAATGTAGATGATGCATTTGTAGAAGCTGTTGTCGTTGTGGATTGTGGATTTTGTAAAAGGTAGATAGGCAGACTAGTATCTTGTTGACGTCGGCAACGACGATCCCAATCATAGATTTGAAATACTAATCGTTCAACTCGACGCAGTAAACTACACCAACAATATAGTAAAAGACGAAAATCCGGTATCGACTGAAAGAAAAAAACAATAGTTTTATACATACAGAATGAGAGAGTAATCAATTGTTAAATTCAGCTATATGCATAAATACACACACAATTCTGCATAAATCTGGAGAAGTGGATTAGCGGTTAGGACGTTCAACTTTCAGCTACTAAGTTGTAGGTTCAAACATACCTCACCTACTTCGGTTTAACCAGCCGCTCAGTATTAGTAGCCCTCAAACTTAGAGCGTGGATCAAGACCAAGTACATGTATTTGCGCCTGGTTGAAGAGCTAATAAATAAGTATGAATATTAAGTCAAATAACACAGCAAGTGGATATAATGTACAAGCTGAAAGTAGTCGAACAGAAACACTGCTCGACGCATGGTTTCGTACTTATCAGTAGGATTTGCCTACAATATTGAGGGAATGATGCGGCCTGTGGGATTCAAACTCATGTTACCCAGGTTCACAATATAAGATGTTGCTACGGAGCTATCCAACCTCTCGTTAAGCGTTTTCGCTTTACATGACTTTCATTCACATATGTCTACGTGTACATACACTAACAATAAATACACGAGCTGAAGTTATAAAACACTTAGTTTGAAAAGTATACGGTACATCAAATTTCTCAATAGTGAAAATATTCTGAATACATGTTAATAAACTCTTTCTATATTCATTTCCATTATTTAATACATTATTAAACGTCCCCGGAGGACAAGTTCTTCAGTTGTCCGGTTGTTTTATGTATTACTATCTAAACAACCCCTTAGTGTCACTCTATTTCAGCTAGGGAAACTAAAAAGAAGTAGAAGACGGATAAGTTACGTGAGTAGAAAACGTCATATATTATTACGGAGAAGAAAAGTGAATATAATTACAGGTGAATATACAGACCCATTAACATATATTTACAAGGAAATAATAAATTTCATGAATTAGGACTAGACAAGTTCAAGGTGGTGAGGATCTAATAATAATGCGATTGGCAGTTGTAATATTCAGGTCCATAATTAACGACTTTACGAGCTAAAATAATCCAAATCTATATTTGGTAAATGAGTTATACTTTTAAGAGTTAGGAACACTATTGCTTGACTTGTAGTATAATGCTCGTTGATAAACTCACAAGTGAACTTGTATGTGAAATGGTTTACAAAATATTTGTTAATGACAGTCCACGAAAATGTAATAGCAATGTATTATTATATTATTTAAGAAAATGTTTTACCCATTGTGTATAATTTCGCATCATTAGATCACCAATAGGTGAACTGCCAAGATCGGCTATTTCGACCCATTGTTCTATTCTACGTAATACTGCACCATAATTTGGTTGTTCCATTGATTCTACACAATGTGTATCTGTTTGTAAATTACAACGAGTTTGTTTCGGCACTTGATCAGGATGTGACAAATCAATTAGGCCGAGCATAAGATCACGAAGTCTTGCACCAACTTGTAATAATTCATCAGCACGAAAACCACAACCTCCTCGTGAGGTTCACTATTATTATTGATTGGTTGTTGATGACGATAATCGTTGGAGTTGGTGTAGTTCACTTCCGATGAGATGTCACAGATTTCCGAATCAGTTAAACATAATAAGCGATGATGAAGACAATCAGCAAATGTAAATATCAGTGGAAGATAACTGTTTAAATAAACAAATAAATAGGTTATTTGAAGAGATTGGTTTAACCTACAGGTGTTGTTCATGACAGATTAATATTTGGAATGACATAAAATATCAGTGAAACACTGAACAGCAATTTTGTCCAAATGTAGAACACCTTGAAAGTGAGTACCCGAAACCGCACTAGGGATAGAACTCAGGAACTTCGGATCTCTCAGAGAATAGACAACCGTTGAAATAATTAAATCCAATAATATCATTCCAAGTTCCATAAAGTGCGGAATAGCGCGATGACCATTCATAGTCAATAGTGACAGCTGTTCCACTACCAACATGGATGATTGTTATGCTGTTCCGAGTCTACAGACGTGAAAACGATACTAGTGGACACCAGCAAAGTGGTTCTAGTTGTTGGATGTTCAACGCCAGATCTGAAACTCCTGAATTAGATTCCCGGTGAAGTGTGTGAACTGTTAAGGAGACACACTAAGACGTAACAGCTGTTTTGTAGCACTCCAAACTAGATCAATTTTCAACGATTACTACATGGATGATTGTTATGCTGTTCAGAGTCCACAGACGTGAAAACGGTAGTCTGCATCTACCAACATGGCTCATACCAGAAGTTAGTGACTTCAAGTAGTGAAGCCACGTTTTCGTTTGGCCACCCCTAACTTCCTTACAACCATCCCAAACACTAGTCAGCATTGCACGTCGTGGTAATCGTAGTTCAGACATAAGTGACACGTGGCCCAACCATCTCAGCCGATGAAGATTCATAACCCACCACTGATTTACCATCATCATTCCTTAATACCCTGCTCCATAACCTTACTATTACTTACCCGATGATCCCAGCACATACGAGGTTACAACATTATTCTCAACAATTAATGAAATTCGTTTAGTTGTAAACCATATTGACTGAAGTCTAAATGGATTAACTAACTAACCTTTGAAGTTCCACTAAATGCGTAGGTAATTCACCCGAGCATAAAATATTAAACAATGTAGACATATTGCTATTTGAATAATTTAATGTTGATTTATTTAAACATTTAGTACTTTCAATTAATTTCCATAAACAACGTAAATAGATTGTATACTGTGAATAAATTGAGTTAATGCTGAAAAGAATAAAGACAAAAGAAGAAGAAGAAGAAAGGTAAGAAGAAATGCAAATTAAAAAAGATAATTATTTATTAAGTAAGCATTAAATATAGCATACCAATTAGTCAACAACGACAAAAAAAACAAACGTAGAACCTAACATAAACATGTAGATCGGTTCAAGTTTTCCAACTAGATAAAGATAAATTACCAGGGCTGAAGAAGTAGTTATTGATTTACACATATAAATATTGGTACAATGAGGCACCAAATACATATGCTCCACACAAGTCACTTGATTTGTGTGAGGGCTGTGATACTGCTCGGGTGACCAAACTGAAGCAGGTGGTTTTCTTAGAGAGCAACACCCCGAGCCTCCGACCTAAAGGTCTGATCCACAAAACAGTGGAGCAACGTCAGGAGATGCAATCCCATGGTAGTCGGTGACCAATAGGTTCATACACCATTTGTTCTTTCAGGATACTGGAGCCCATGTGCACCACTGGTTCGGAATCAGGATTTTCCAACTCCCATAGGTGGATCCTCCATATTCATTAACCCGGTTACATGTTTGTGTGGACACACATACATAGGGAGAAGTAATCGAACAATGCAATCAAGGGTCAATGAATATGTGCCTAGATGGCTTCAAAATCAAAGTGTTTCAAATGATCCGATCACTGTGAGAGTTAGAAAACCAGGTTCATCGATAGCAAAACATATAATTGAGACGGAGCACAAAATTGACAATTAATACAGCTTTTAGAACGTTGTATAGAAATGGTCAAGCACGAATTCTTAAGTTTATTGAAGCCTTGGCCATTCGTAAATTTAAACCCCCCTTATGTGTACAAAAACCTTGGTAATCTTTAAGTCATTCTATGGCCCAGGATAACGCGACAACTTCTTATTCTTTCTCCCCCCTTTTGTTATTTTACTTGAACCTTTATTTAATCGACCTTTATTAATTTTCATATAAATAATGCCTCTACAAGTATATGTGTGACCAGATTGTTCGAAATGTACAGCGCAAATACATCACATTTTTCAGATAAACTCCGTCTTCTCATTGTTCTATCGAAGCCCGGTTAGTGCCGAACATTCGTTTTTCATTCTCTCGATTTCGTTAGGAAACCCCCTGCCGTCAGAAAACAGTGAGTAGGACTTCGCTGGTAATGATTGTATGCACATGACCATGTTAGAGCATTTCAAGAGGGAGAGCTGACTCTCCCCACTCTCGGCCGTACCAGGGTATTTGAGGGATGGAGAATTAGTGACATTATCCATTAATGGTCATAGAAACGATTAGGTATAAATAATGTAATTGAATAAGAAAGGGTAAGATAAATTTGTGCAGTGAAAATTAAAAGTATTTTGAAACAAAAAACATCTGTAAAATTGTGAATAATTCTGAGATATGTCACTTAACGATTCCAATTATTGGTAACGATTATATCATGGATCCCAACTAGGTAGTTTGTACCTAACAGCATAGATTAGTTTAACAATCAAAAATTTTACGAACTGATGCTAAATTTTCATGTGCGGCTGCACGTAGCTTTCTTAAAACCTATTCCTATACAAGTGGACATTGTGTGTCGATGTAGGTCTCAGGTACCTATATTGATGAAAATTCAGAAACTAATCAACTGATTTGCTACTTTATATCTCGTACCCTATGTACAATCTCAAAATTACTCACTTCACGGTCCTAATATACGTTTCAAAGGTGTGGATGATTAAATACTAGTAACCTGGGAATATTTAGCTGCAGAGGTCATGTGAGAAATACAGTACAGAGATAAATGACATCGAAAAATGAAAAGTTAAAACTGACATAGAATATGTAGAGCACCTTTTATTGATTAAGAGTAGTTCTGATGAAACTAAATCATCGAACCTAATCAGTTCAGTAACCTGATTACAAATTGTCAATATGATTGTGCAATCAATACGTTGTAATAATGATTCTAAGTGTACGGAATATAAATACCTGAATATATGAGTCTAAAATGAGTACAAAATATCAATCAAATGATTTTACATACCGTATTAATGATGTCCTAGACAGACCACATACTTGAGAAAGGCAATAATGTAGATATGATGAAGAACGAATTAATTCCAATTTATCTGGATTATCCAAATCACTATTGAAATTTTCCAGTGTAGACAATGAGCTAGCTGCTAGCGCCGGTAAACTGTGACTTAGTGACGCAGAGATTTTTGTCAGTTGAGAAGCCTAAAAACAAAAACAAAGAAAGTCAATCAATGTTTACTTATAAACCTCCTTCATTCGTCTTTATAATACAGTATAGACAAACTCTTGAATTCTGATTGCCTATTAGCTAATTAGACAATTATCCATTAGAATCTGAGTCAGGAACTATAACTATAAAATCTTAATCAAAGAGGATGATATATACATAAAATACCTTTTGAGTATGCAAGTGTTCAACAGGGGAATAAATATTTCAATGGTTGAGATCATGAGTCAATTGAAGCTAGACCACCATGGAAAACCTGAAAGCACTGGGTCTGTTGTGAGATAGTAACTCACTCGTCCTAGTATGGGACTCCTCAGCAGTGTGCGGGATCGTGGATGCACACTGCTGAGGAGTCCCATACTAGGACGAGTGAGTTACTATCTCACAACAGACCCAGTGCTTTCAGGTTTTCCATGGTGGTCTAGCTTCAATTGACTCATGATTTCAATCTGTGAAAACAAATTTAATTCACAAATCACAGATATTCTTTGCGTATTATGTACGCAATGAGCTTCACTAAATAATGCAATGGTTAGTGATGATAACTGACTGGTTGAACTATGATAAACAAAGAGAGATTTGAAATAACAACCTGTGAGATGGGCGACTCGATGACAAGTACCCGTGAGATTTATGTGCATATCAATAAACATTGAATAGTGGTTAATAGTGAGATGAATAACATATGTTTCGTCTAATTTGGAACTTATGATATAGTTATATATCTTCATGGTATAAATCACATTCTAAATGTGAGGGCTTATGATACTACGCGGTTGACCAAACCGAAGTAAGAAGAGCAGGTTTCGAATCCAATGACTTAAAGGCCAGAAGTCGAGGACCCTAACCACTAAGCCACCGTCTCACATGACCTCTTATTATTAGTACTAAGGCTTCAGGTTTTCCCATCGTTAATATTTAATAATGAATTTGGTTAGCCTCTTCTATATTGGTATATGGATCAAATTAATAGATGCCTTGATATTTATTATATTAGCTGTGTTTATAAATTGGTAGTATTTAGAAGAGAGGTTGGACTATAGTAGGTTAAATTCAAAGTGAATTGTAAAACTTAGTATTTGGTTATTAATGAATGGAATCGCCAAAATTTGATGTTTAACAGGTAGGTAGGTGTTTTTATCCATAAATTGACTACTTTAAAGTAAAATTTTCATTGAACTCATATAGGTTAAAATGTATTCCTCAAAAACTATAAAATAAGTTTATTTTCTAGGAATGATACAATGAATATGAGTCGTTTAATCTGTATGGTGTATTTATCATTGCCGACCAGAGTACCTAACCTGTTAGATACTATCTATTAGTGTTCTTGTGACATTTTAGGCCTCTAGATCTACTAAAAGTAATGTAACAATATGGTACTACCTCTGTGATAGGTTCGAACCCCGCTCCGCATAAATTGGTCTTACCATCAAAATAGTATCAATGGTTCTTACACATAAATAGCGTGACTCAAAGCCGAGAATACAAAACTAAATTTGGTAAATGTTTTTAGAAAAATTCACGAAACTCTCATAGTATTCCTAAGCAATATATGCACCACACAAGTCATTTGATTTATGTGAGAGCTGTGATACTGTCCGTGTGCCCAACCCGGTTAAAGTGCCGGACACTAGCTTTTTTTTCTTAATTTCGTAAAGAACAACCGTGCCGCGAGACGGCAGTGGTCGTATGCATGTGGCCATGTAAGAGCATTTCGAGGGGGAGATTGGAATCTCCCCACTCTCGGCTGTACCGGAGCATTTGAATTTACTTATATTGGTACAAGGAGGCACCAAATAGATATGAGCCACATAAATCAATCGATCTGTGTGAGGGCTGGGATACTGCCCGAGTGCCCAAACTGAAGCATTTTAATTAGTCAAAAATATAAATAACTATCCACTTTTTTCGACGCATCTTAAGTATGAACTGACTGCAGTCTCAATTAAATCATTCAACAAAATTAAAGAGAATACAACTATATAACCAAAACTTCAAAGACAAAAACACACATTTTCGACAAAAGCGAAACAAAGATAAGAAATATACCCATACTGGTTGAAACGAGACAGCCTCTGAAATAAGACTACAGTTATTAGTACTTCTAGTAAATTCAGCTGACATGTTCATTTCCTGATCATTGATTTCCACTCCCTTCATTCTATTATGATTATCATTAATCTTGTTGTCGTCATCATCACCATCGTCATCATCTGATAATTCTTCTCCTTGTCCAATTCGTAGTTGTAACGGTTTAGGATCAGTAATTGGACGAACAATAGGCAGATGAGGTTCCGTTAAACAACTCATAAGTATCCGAGCAACAAAACGTATCGTTATCGCAGCTTCTAAAGGTGAACCAGACCATGTATAATGTGTGTAAGATTCAGTAGCTAACAGAACTGGCAATGATTCGTCACCTCCTTCTTCCTCTGTCACTGCTTCTTCGTGATTATCATCGTCATCAGTATCTTGTATCATTGATGACTCGGTTGTATGGACAGTTGAACTTGATGTGGTTGTGGTTGGATCACATTTTACTAACATGCCAGGTATAGCCACAGTCACAAAAAGGTGTAATAAATCTGTTTTAACAATAAAAATCAATGCATGGATTTAAAAACAGTTTTGGGACATTTACTTTCATCAAATACTTCATTCGATCAGTAATTCATACTCAACCTACAGCCTGGTACATCTATCAGTCGTTTCAAGTTGCCACACCCCGTTAGCACAGATGAGATATACATTCGTGCACTTGGCACTGGGTTACACTCTACGTGTGAGAGACAGAGTGATACCACTACCTGGTTGACCGGACCACAGTAAATGGAGCTATCTTAAAACCTATGATTTGGCGGCTAAAAGCCAGACAATTCACTCATTGAGCCACCCACTACTCCACAAAGCGGTATGTGAGGAGTCGAACCCAGGTAGCTCGAAAAGCAGACGATTAGTCATTTGATCGCAAACAACAGCCGACCTCTAAAAGCACAAAATTTAAGTACAAGTATTTTGTGGTTGCAAGAATTTAAGTGAGACTACAAATATATGTGCCCTATGAGTGGGAAAAGTTATACTAATACATACAGAAAAACTTCACAACATAACCTTACTACTCACTACAAAGAATTAGATGGAAAGATTAGGAGTAGTATGTTTACATGGAAAATAAAATAATTTAGGTCAATAATATAGCATAACTGAATACGAGTAGGTGGAGAGAATGAATAAACACATTTGGTGTGAAATAGATTGGAATCAACTTTCGATTCTTCTTGATAACATTCAACAACAATCTAAGGTTACCTAAAACTGTGGTCCGCTTCATTTTTCGGCATCGTCACCGTCCGCTGTCCATAATTATTGCGTAGACTGTCTCAGTATCTTTCGCTGCTAGCTATATTCGTATCATGCTGGGTGAAACATATTTTATTTATGTGTCAGGATACATCGGAATGAAAGTTTTCTTCAAATTCCACTGAGTAAACAATTATTTCTTCTGGAAAATCACTATAGCTTTATTTGATTATATCCCTAAATTTTCCAGCGCCACTACAACGCAAAAGCACGTGCTTGATTCGAAGTACAGTTGCATTCCAAGCATATACTTTAGAATCATCAGTGACTTAACTGATCCCTTCTACTGATAACTGATTGAAAGAAAGTCGATAAAAAAAGTATCCAACGTAGAGTTCATATTGACGATTACCAGATTATTAGAAAACTCACTTGAAATCTTTACAAGAGTCACTGATTGTCAGAGCGTAGTTGAACCGAACGATCACTCATATCTACTTACTAGAACTCATAAGCCGTATCTAAATGTGGTTCTGAGTAAACTAATCAGTATAATCAGTCATCACTCTTGTCAGATATGATAAATCTGAAATGGTTGTACAGTTTTAAAGGATAATAACCATTTATTTCGATAAAACACTACAAACATTTTACGGGGCGTAACTCCAGTACCTTTCACTTCATAGACTACTATCAGCTGAGAAATAGTTGAGAAGTGCAAACCCTCCCTTTCGAACCCAAAGTAATACCTTTACGTATGAGACTACAGAAGTTGCAGTCACATATTTAATTACTTGAAGTATGAATAATGTGGCTTGTAGGAACACCCAACTCATGCATTGTATAAAATGTCAGAGCTTTATCTAGTGGTACTTGTCTGGTTTTAAAGTAGGTTAACTCATTATTATTATTAATTAGCGTGATCATTTTTGCTTTCTGATTGATTTTGTTGTTCCCTTTAATTTGCTAAGTTTCCTATGTCCCAAGGATTTGTCGCCATATATACGGAATTGTTCTACTTATGTTCGGAACATTCTTAGAGGTCGATCCTCTCTATTGCTTATTAACTTGTGGATTATTAACGTCAAAGTATTGTCATATATCAGTGGATGCATGACAGAGTTAGCATTATTTTACGTTCACACTAGAAGAGATCTTAAAAAGTTTTTGATTAGAAATTACCTTAGATCTAAATGAATTAAATCTCAAATCGTAGATAATAACAACTGGGTTACAAAAATAGAAGCCCCAACATATAGTTTAGGGCATAGTGTTAAGAAATCTAAGAGCAAGGAACATGATAATTAATGAATTATGGAGTGATGAATTACAGAGCTATTGAAAAAGGGCAAAGACTATACATCAATCTAACAGCTAGTTATGCAAACAAAGACATGTATAAAATAACATTTACAAGTGATGCTAATTATTGATAGCAAACAAAAAATATTTACATATGATGATTATTGTGAAAACGAAACATATAAATGTTACAACGTACTTACTGATAGAAGGAATCAATGAAATAGTTCCATTATGTGGTGTTGTTGTCGTTGTTGTTCAGTGTTTAATTGGCTATTTTCATTCTCAACCGCTGTTAAACATCCATGAATAACAATTTGATGTAGATTAGGTAGTTTGAACATTTCCATACCAACACTGAGTATAACACGTTCACCGATAATATAAGTATTGTGATCATCAATAGTTGATATGAGAATATCATTTAATGCTGTGAAAACAAGTTCACGATAAAAATCGACCATTGGATTCTACATAAATAGAAGAAAAAAATAGGAAAATACAATAGGACTGTAAGATTTGTGAAGTTCACTTAGCCGACAAGTGAAAATTATATGCATAGAACAAAATTCTTTTTCTTTGTATTGAATATCACAGGATAATATTAGTGGAATCCACTTGGGAGTCATTAATCATCTGAGTATACTTCATATATCTAAGCAAGTATTACTTATACTAATAGTAGTAGAGCTCTGTTGTTTTCATTTTCATGTTACCTTGTTGAGAATGTGACATTTTCAAATATAAAGTATGAAGAACTTTCTGAAGTCAACAATGATATATTTGTAAGATATTGTGAATTCGTTTAATTTTTGTGAGATCCATATCTCTCATATACGAGTACTTGTATCTTTGCATGCTGTTACGGGTATGAGGGCTGGTGTCACTTCCCGGCTTCTCAAACCGTGGAAGGGTATTTCTTGAAAAACTTGGAAAGGAAGTTGGATTAATAATGGTCTTAACGACCTGGGAGTGTGACCGCAGAGCCCAAGGGACAACTGCTTGAGGCCGGTCGCGCACGGCCTTTTGACGTGTTAGCTCCGTTCTTCAAAGAGCCTTACTGCCGGAGAAGGAAATCCATGAGGTAAGATGAGGTGTGACATTTTTAGGGTCGACCTTTTCTAACCCCTTCCTTCCTTGTGGGAAGGCAGCATCGCTGCAGATGCTGGTTGTCCGAGGGAAACACCTTACTGCTGTCACACCCCTCTACAGTCAGCAGAACGACTTCGTCCTCAGACCTTGAGTTGCTGCTTTTGGTCTTACCGTTCTCCAATCGACCTGCCTGACATGGTAGAACCTACAGGAACATATGTTCCAGCCAATATAGCTCGGTTGGGTCATCACGATAGGCAAGCCCGACCACCGCGTCAAGGTAGCAGCTAAGGTTGGATAATCCTTATCCAATCAGCGCTAGTCGATACTTGAAGAACACTCTAGAAACTTCTCGTGTAAAAACGTTAAACATACTAACGTTTTTCTTATTGTGCTTCTTACTTCCATCTACCCTTGCTATTTGGAATATAGTTTCTTTCCTGTCCAACCGTGTTCTGATTTGTGGACTTGTCGAGTGAATTGATGTCTAAGAATACTAAGCAATAGGTATAGCTGGGTTGCAATAAGAGAGAATTATAACACCAACTATCACTAAACGTGTACTTTTTTCATTGTAAATATAAACAGTCTATATATAACAAGTATAACTGTGAGATAAACATCTAACTACACAGTCGATTACTAATAATTTATTGCTCTTCAATAATAAAACGATAATTAAGATATGATCATAAACAACATGAAGGCATCTAGGAAAACTGAGAATGTTTGGCGACTCTCTGTTCAATTATCATTGTCTCTGAAAGTTTACTAGCATCCATTAACAACATTATATTAGTGATGTGGGAGATTTAACAAAGTGTTGGGTCACCGTGACGATAAGTTCACAGATTTTGCTATTTGGAAAAACACCAGCTTCAGTGGTTTGCATGTGTCAAGAATGTCATCTTAATGAATTTCACATAATGCAATAATTGTCGACACTGGGACTGGGTGGAAAAAGTAGCGGAGTGATCAACTTATAATATGGTGCTGTGGCACAAAAGAAAGCTTTACAATACTGGCAACTGTCGTTCCATTACGACTACCTGGTTGAGGTCGTTTTAAAGATGGCATTACTGAAGGGATTGAGGTGTCATTAAAGATGACTCAGAATATAAGCCAGTAGCTGTCATGATATGATTTACTTAAGGATTCTTCATAAAAGTGAGGGACTTCCTTAACTGAAAGTCAGTCAGCTACAACGTAGCACCAGGCACATGTATACATCGATCCAAGTTGCCATACCTCATAAGCACAACAACGAATTAATAGAAACAGTTACTTCAGTGGTAGTGATATATAATAAGATTGTATATAAGAATATGATACAAAGAGAAAGAGTTAATTTGCAGAAAGAAATGTATAAAGTAATTTTAATCTCACAGTTTAAAGGAAGACAAAGAGTGTACACACCTACACCATTGTAATCGATTCTGAGCCATATCACCCAGAATCTCCAACCATTGATTACGATAGTCGCGCGAACCCCAACCAACTAGTCTGCATCTCCCAACATGGCTCAGACAAGAACTTAATGACTTTATGGACAATGCTACGTTTTGGTTTTGTCGCCTCTAACTAACTGAAAGAAGTCCTTCTTCGTTGTATATTTTTAAACTAAACTCTATCTCCCTATTGTTGTTTTTTTCACTACACTTCCCTTTCCTGCTTTACCTTTTTCCTTTTACTTTGAGTAGTGCATACTTAGTTTTAGTATCAAATTGTATCAGATTTTAAGCGTATTACGTGAAATAGAATATTCAATCATCAGTCAGTATACATATATGTCATTGAAAGAAAAACAAAAGAATTATGACTTACAGAAAATGGACTACCATTATCCGATAAGTTAAAAGTACATTTCAACGGTGCAATAATTAGATTAATGAAAGAACGAGTTTTTGGTAATTTGAAAAATTCCACAGGATCAAATACTTGTGATTGGGTAGTGAAATCTTTAAGGTAACCACCAGTTGTAGTCGGTAATTGTTGATCCATAAAATAAGCCAAATGATTAAAATAATGATGCTTTGATAAATGTCGACAAATCCATTCAATACTGAAGTATAGTTGTTTTGAATATAAAGAAATTTTTGTAGATGAACAAGTTCCGATTAAAATGTTGAATAATTCCTCTAATACACGAATCGGTAATGTATAGTTTGATGATGTTGTTAATGATGGAAGTTTTGTTAAATATCTGTAGGGGAAAAATGAAATAATAAAAGGGATTTCAGTGCTTTACAGTAGCGAAATTAAATCATGTAAACTGATTTGTATATGGCCCCCAAATGCCCTGGTACGGCTGAGAGTGGGTAGAGTCAATTCTCTCTCCGAATGCTCTCACATGGCCACGCGTATATAGCCTCTGCCAGGAAAGTCCTACTCACTGACTTCTCGTAGTGGGGGTGTTGTTTATGAAATTGCAAGAACGAAAAGTGAATGTCCGGCACTAACCGGGTTAACGGACATGGAGGATCCACCTATGGGAGTCGGGAAATCCTGATTCCGAACCAGTGGTTCACATGGGATCCAGTATCCTCAGGGAACAAATGGCGTATGAACCAACTGTTGGTCACCGGCTTCCATGAGACTGCATCTCCTTACGTTGCTCCACTGCGTTATGGAGCAGACCTGTTGGTCGAAGGCTTCGGGTGTGACGCTCGCAGAAAACCACATGCTTCGATCTGGGCACCCGGGCAGTATCACAGCCGTCTCACATATACCAAATGAGATTTGTGTGGCGCATATGTACTTGGTGCCTCCTTTTACCAATATCTATGTGTTCAAATAAATAAATAATAAATAAATGTTTGTATATTTGAAAACTATATAGGATGAGAAAGGTTGTTGATTATGGTTTCTGAGTTGATGGAATAGTTTCCTTCTCTCTAACCCATTTCGAACTCACGCGTACTAGCCTCAAGGTTAAGCCGGTCAGCCTATCGCGTCAGGGTCTTAATCTGGATTAGACAAGTTATCCTCAGCACAAAAATGGGTAGACGGATCGAGGACGTAACAAACGTAAAAACAAGAAAGCGTCATGGAAACTTACTTGATGTTGATTAATAACGAATTCCCTAGTGTGAAAATATGGTCAGCAGAACCATTAGTTAACCAGTTGACTTGTGCATCTTTTCCATGTTTGGACAATAATAAACGACAAACAGTAAACTATGGTATCAATACAGAGAAAAAACAAAATTATTTTATAAATGCCAGAAATATACAATTTCATCGTTGAGATCATGAGTCAATTGAAGTTAGACCATTATGGAAAACCTGGAAGCACTGGACGGCCGTTTCGTCCTATTGTGGGACTCTTCAGTAGTGTGCATCTACAATCTCGCCTCGCGAGCGCTTAGCCATTAGACCACTGACCCGGCCGGGATCCAACAGTGTTAATGTCTAACTTCAACTAATCCACGAAATTCAGCGACACATCCACCATTGTCTTCAATGACTTACTATCTCATAACAGACATGGTTGAAATCCACTGGTCACTGTTTCTCACTAGAACTCCAGGAAATACGTCTTGGAGACTGTCACTAGTGAACATATATTGACTAATATCAGAAGGGGTTTTGTGGATATTATAGTAATTTTGATAATTGAGAAAAATATATAAATATTTGAGAAATAAAATGTATCAATGAGAAATTAATACAGTGGTAACTCAATTGAGCACATACTATTGAAGAGCTCCAGACTAGGACGAAATAGATATCTTTCCTGTCTTCGAACCAATTGTAAATATTACAATATTTTTGTCGCATATTCATGTAATACATAAATTCAAATGTGGCAGTCTCTTGCTCTTAAACAAAAAAGCTAGAATGAGAGTAAATTAACCACCATGGTAGTTCCCTTTGAATTTTGTCAGTGATAAACGAAGTCATAGTTCACATACATACATACGGTTAGCGGACGTAATTTTTCAATTAGAATAAATCTGAAACAGCGAAATCCATCGCTTTATGTCCACAGTTGAAAAGTAGGTGGTCAGTGGGGTTTCAGCAGGTTCCCTTGTTTCTTCCTATTTGGAACTGATAATTGTAGGAGGCATGAGTATCTACCTTGGAATGGTTTACCGAAGATTGAAGTCAATGATTCACTGGATTAAGGGGTATTCAATAAGTGAGTTTCGGTGGATTATGGTGTCGACTATGGTTAATAGTTTGATGTAGTGTTGTCAGACTATCATATCATGGTGACCCAATCGAAGTATATTGGCTGGAAAATTAGTTCTTATAGATTTTATCACGCCATGCTAGTCGGCTGAAGAGCGATAATGTTAAAAGTAGCAAACCTAAGAATTGAAAAAGTTATAATACTAACTTTACTGAGGTGTGACGGTATCAGGATGTTTCCTTCAAACAAACAGCGATCAGTTCGTCACAACATAGAACTTTTACTTATGTACGTCGGTTCAAGTTGTCATACCCCATTATCACAGCATGTGAACCAATATTTCCTTCCAAAAAAGGATTTTATTTATTATTTATTTGAACACATAAATACTGGTACAAGAGGGCACCAAATATGTATGCGCCATACAAAACAATGAGAATAGGAAGAGAAAAAAAGAAGATATGGAGCGTAAAAGAAAAACAAAACAATAACGACCAGATTAGTGTAAGGTAGTGTAATAATAATAGTAATAATAATAATAATAATAATAATAATAATAATAATAATAATGGGGGAAACGGAAAGGTACAACCAGAAGAAATATTTCAGTTAAGGAAAATACAACCACTTCTTATGAAGAAAGTAAAAGAAGGTTACAGCAGGATCGCCACTGGCTTCTATTCTGAGCCATATCTGTTAACGCCTCTACCAATGTGTCGCACCATCTTTCGGACCCCTCCAAAAAGGGAGGATGAACTTAAAAGATTTATACCTCGAAAATGGCATACTAAACCTTGTCCCATGGCTAAACGTTTAACAAACAAATACTTGTTAAAAGGTAGTGTGACCGGCCTCAGACGGTTGTCTTGTGCTCGGCAGACACGCTCGAAAACCGTCAATATCATTACTAATCCAGTCTCCATTTAGGGTTTTTCAAGAAGTATTCTTCCATAGTATGGCCAACCGAGAAGTGACAACCTTCACTACACCTCTGACAACAATTTGGTGGATTATAGTGTTCAACGCAATTAAATTACAACCATTATGGTTCAGGCTTCCATTTCAATGAATCTACTTGAGTTTAAGGATCCAAATTAGTACTATTGGTCCTCACAGAAAAGTGTATTTCAAAGCTGAGTAACATAATTCCATACTTTATTACTTGAGTTGCATTCATGAAAAAAGGTGAATTGTAAACAGAATGAAATATAAACAGCCTTTCGGTCCATATTTGACTTTTTTTATACAAACAACAACAAAAAAACAAACATACATTCTAACTTACAAGATGTTTTTGTTCCGGACTTTTATTACGATAGCATGTATTGAAACATTGAAGTAACTTCAATAACTTATGTTAAAATTCATGCTCCGCATTGAAACCAGTTTTATTTATTATATCATCTAATTGTTTAGATAACTCATTCAATAATCCAATAAAGTAACGTTTCTAGAAAATTAAAAGAATATTCATCAGAGAGAGAGAGAGAGAGAAACGGAAGAACAAGAACGATGGAACCAAGTAAATATGTTTATAATAAAGTAACACTAGTCATTAAATTGATATCTACATGTTATAACTTGTAGCTTGAGTGCCCTGTTAATGTACAACGTAATGATATCGCCAATTAGAGAACAGTAATTTATCGATTAGACCAATGACGCGTAAAACACGTACGAGCAGTCTAGAGTCCTTATCGGTCCTGCTTCCGGCCTAGCCCCACCAGTGTAGTCCAGAACACCAATCTCAGCCTCTGCTATATTATTATTATTTATTTTAACACATAGATATTGGTAAAAGGAGGCACCAAGTACATATGCGCCACACAAATCTCATTTGATATGTGTGAGGGCTGTGATATTGCTCGGGTGCCCAGACCGAAGCAGGTGGTTTTATTAGGGGGTCGCACCCGTAGCCTTTGACCTATAGGTTTGATCCACAACGCAGTGGAGCAACGTAAGGAGATGCAGTCTCATGGAAGCCGGTGATCAACGATTGGTTCATACGCCATTTGTTCCCTGAGGATACTGGAGCCCATGTGCACCATTGGTTTTAAATCAGGGTTTTCCAACTGCCCTAGGTGGACTTTTCGTGCCTTAAAGTAACCCTCGTGCTATTGATAGAAGAAACCAGACAAGTAGTGAATAGGTCTTTATTTCAATCTTAGCTCGGTGACAGTGGAGCATGGGATTATCTGTTCAGACAAACAAAGGCTCTCAACATTCAATATAAGATAATAGGGAATATAACGCTTATACAAAATAAGGAAGTGAATGAATACTTGAACAATACTGTTTTGGCATATGCTTGGTTGTTTGAGGTCAACTCTTAACCAACCAACCCAAGCTGTTACATTAGCTTCCCCCTAGAATCGACTTCCGTAGGAACGTCGGTTCGATTAACCTATCTATCGAAAACACCTTAGTTCTATTTCTCATCCCGAGGGAAAATTATCAACTCGCTCACTATTTGACTTACAATCAGTGACGACTAACGCTGTCAACGATAGTCCATGGATGTCTCTCATTTACTAGTTTGTCATCTTATTTTGTAGCATGTGATTTATTCTACAACTATCGCCGACGGTTTGCTGCGTGCTTTCAAGAGAAAGAGTGTGAGAATGTGGAATAAGAATATCTGAGGAAGTGCCGCGAGCGGGCTACCCAACACCATGTTGGTGAGGTACGATTTTTCCGTGCTCAGACCGGCTATCAGGTGTTTACTCACCTGCCTCTTGAGTCGCCCTCAAGTAAAAAGTAAAGAAGAATCTACTTCAAAGGTAATGGTGAAAATCAAGCAAACCTGAAGAACTGCTCCACTGCCTGCATAAAATAATAAGATACAAAATGGAAATACATAAATATAATTTATAATTGTTCGGTTCCACGTAAGTGATTGGCCTCCAGAAAGGATTGGTATTCTGGAAGAAAATAGACATAGTGTAGCCATCTTATGTACGAAAAGGTATGAAAACAAAAAAAAAACTTTTTTATAATGCATATATGTAAAAGTGTAAACTTGCTAGAAGTTGGACTCATTGTGAAACCCGATCAAATGTATGACCTTGGGCCTATGACGACCGCCTTTTATAACCAGGTACGTAACCAAGGGTGCATAGTTGTACTCCACAAAACGGAAAAGAATATACGGTTAAGGAGGAGAAAAAATTGTGTAGATTATGAGGATTAAGTACAATTGTGTCAAATACTCTTTTCTGGTTTGATCTAAGTATGTATGATATATTGAAACAATATTTCGTCAATTCATCCAAGTAACGAATTTGTCTGCACCTTAGAAATGTGTAAGTCCTATTACTCATTAGTATTATATATGATTAATCGGTAAAAGGAAAGATTGCAGTCATTCGCCCGTGGTTTGATGTGGTCTAATGGCTAGGCACACGGTCTAGCATCCAGGAGGGCAGAGGTTCGAGTGCGTGTGGGGCTAGCGTTTTCGTTCACCAAAACCCCCTTCAATACGATGTTTGTTGGCCATATGTTGCTCAGATATGAGAGAAAGATAACAGGAGGACGGATTGATATGTCAAAGTGCCATATTGGAATAGTACAAGTTCTTTGTTTTTATTAATAATAATGCTATAGAAAAAAAACTACAAGTGTGGTAGATTTCCATTTTACGTTATAATTAAACCAACGAAAAAAAGGTATATATATATATAAGTTATTGACATAACATGTCTTTTTTATAACGCTAGTGTTAAGTTCCAGGATTTTGTATGGACCACTAATAATAATTGGTTTAACGTTAGCATAGCTGTGATATTCATATTAGTTCAATGTTGTGATTACTTAACAGTTCCCTTATAAGTTGTGTTTAAAATTAGGTATGTGGAATCAATGCGGCTAACATAGTAACCTTACAGTAACGCACTGTACTATATCTTCACGGTTATTGATTCTTAAATGTCAGAAATTAAAAAAAATTTGAATATTGCCAATAAAGATGGGTTATATGATCACACTAAAAAGCATGCTGTAGGAAAACTGGTTAAGTCATTACGTAAGTTTCCTAAACATGAAAAAAAATGATGAGAACTTTAATAAGTACTTGACCATGGTTTAATCCAAAATGTTTTGTCTAGAAAACTACTTATTAATAGTAGTATTAAGCGTATCAAGCTACTAAACACATCTTCGACCGAAAACTTTTAGAAGTAGTTCATATGGTATATATGTATAGCCAGTCTACGTGAAAAATGTATATAGATATATAAGAAGTACAGCCAACATAGTTAATTAACCAGAAAAAGAAATTATAAAACTCGCCTGGGTTGCTTTTTGAATTCGTTGTATTTGCCAGTGTTAGTTGTATGAGTTTGATTAAAATCCTCAGCCATCGTTTCGGAATACCTAGCTTATGTGTCCAGTATTTTAAAAAAATATTTAACATAACACTTATATATCAAAGGCAAAAGGTCTGGGGAGTTGTAGGTGAGGCGGAATGAGGAGAAAAATTATTTTTAAGTAGATGCAGGGTCTGATTAGCTACGTGGTTAGATTTTATCCTGCAGCCGAAACTGTCAACATCCTTGACTGACTAATCGGATGTGCCCAGCGAACCGTTTTAGTCATTTGTAAAGATTTATCGTTTTTACATTTCGATTCCGTAATGGATTTGTCAGTTAAACGATCTAACAACACGTATGGTGGTTCATGATCTAGATAAGCCGGCTTTAGCCTATCAATACTTACTGTGTCGATGTTTCCATGTTTTTCTATCACGAAATATTTAGATTTTCTTGAGACGACTTTGAAAGGACCTTCAAATGGAGGACTGAGTGGTGCTTTTATTTTGTCACATCTTATCCAGACGTGCGTGCAATTGCTTAGGTCTTTAGGTATATATACGGCGCGCGATTGTTCACGAGTATTAATCGGCTTAAGTTTAGACATGTGGTCCCGTAGTTGATCTACATAATTTTCTAAATTAAGTTTTTGACTGTTAGTATTAGGGTTAATAAATTCACCTGGTAGTCTCAGAGTTGTTCCGAAAACCAGTTCCGCAGCTGAACACTGTGCGTCAGTTTTGACAGATGTTCGTATTCCCAACATAACTAATGGTAGGAATTCTGTCCACTGATTGGGGTTTGAGTGAGATATAAGGGCGGTTTTTAGCTGACGGTGAAAACGTTCTACCATCCCATTAGCCTGAGGATGATATGCAGTGCAGCGTATCCTATTGGAGCCTAGAAGTTTAGCCAAGTTATTAAATAGTTCGGATTCGAATTGCGCTCCTCTATCCGTCGTTATTGTTATGGGTGTACCAAAAATGGTTACCCAGTTCTGCATGAAAACTTTGGCTACTGTTTCCGCTGTGATGTCCGCTATCGGGATGGCTATAGGGAATCTGGTAAATCGATCTATGCATGTAAAAAGATAATTAAAACCGTTTGAACGTGGTAAAGGACCTACCAAGTCGATATGCACATGGGCAAAACGTGCATCTGGTTGCGAGAAAACACCTATGGGTGAATTTGTGTGACGATTAATCTTTGATTGTTGACATGCTGAACACTCTCTAACCCATTTGTGTACATCCTTCTGTAAATTCGGCCATATATATCTGGCATTGATTAGTTTTGTTGAAGCTTTCGCGCCAGGATGAGACAAAGAATGAAAGTTATTATATATCAACTTTCGCATATTTTTGGGAACGAAAGGTCGCGGCATTGCCTTGGTCGTGTCACAATAAATTAGAATACCATCGATAGGTGATGGGAATTGTTTTAAATTAAGACTTGAATTGTTTGTTTTAAGTAGGTTTTGTAATTCTAGGTCCTGCTCTTGTTCGTGTCTTAACGTCTCGAAGTTTACTGTAGACTGCTGTAGCACGTTCATTTCTAGTCTGGATAAAGCATCTGCCGCCTGATTGTCCTGACCTTTGACATGTCGGATATCGCTTGTGAACTGTGATATATAGTCAAGGTGTCGGACTTCTCGAGGTGAGTATTTATCGGCTCTCGCTTTTAATGCATTCGTCAGTGGTTTGTGATCCGTAAAGACTATAAATTCCCTACCTTCTAACATGTGTCGGAAGTGTTTAATGGTCAGGTAGATTGCAAGAAGTTCTCGCCCGAAGGTAGAATACCTTGTTTCGGCTGGAGCGAGTCTTTTCGAGAAGAAAGCAATTGGTTTCCAGGCGTTTTTAACCAGTTGGTTAAGGGTACCGCCTACTGCTTTATCTGAAGCATCCACCATCAAAGCAAGTGGGGAAAGAGAATTCGGATATATCAACGTAGTTGCTTGAGCCAGTTTATCTTTAAGCTGTTTAATAGCTTCGATGGCGTCAGAAGACAGTTTGAATTCTTTTGGTTTTCCTTTAAGTGAATCTGTCAAAGGTTGCATTAATTGTGCACAACCTGGTATGAATCTGCGATAAAAGTTAATTAGGCCTAGAAAACTTCTCAGTTGTGTTAGAGAACTAGGTACGGGGTATTGTTTGATGGTATCCACTTCTTTTTTGATAGGTTTAATCCCTTCTGGGCTTATTGTGTGACCGAGAAATTCTAAAGTTTGAACACCGAAAACACACTTACTTTGATGTATGTTTATTCCATGTTCATCCAGTCTTTTCAACACTGCTTGTACATGCTGTTCGTGTGATTGCAAATCGGGGCTGGCAATTAACAAGTCGTCTATATACCCCTGCGCAAATGGCATATCTCGAAGTAGGTTATCTATGAATCTTTGAAATGTCTGTGCCGCATTTCTCAGGCCGAATGGCATGCGTACAAACTCGAATAAGCCAAAGGGTGTAGTAATAGCTGTCTTGGGAATATCTTCATCAGCCACCGGGATATTGTGATATGCCCTGACTAAGTCAATTTTAGTGAATATGTTCATACCCTGTAAACCGTTGGTGAAATCTTGGATATGAGGTATTGGGTACCTATCTGGTACGGTTTGACGGTTTAGGGCTCTGTAATCCCCGCACGGTCGCCAGTCACCTTCATTCTTCTTTGGGACCATATGCAAAGGGGATGCCCATTGACTATCAGAGGGACGGATAATACCCAATTGTAGCATATAATCAAACTCGGCCCTAGCGATTTTGAGCTTATCTGGTGCTAGTCTCCTGGGTTTTGCAAACACCGGTGCACCTTCGGTTTTGATAGTGTGACTCACTTTTAGTTTGTCTTTAGAAGGCTGTGGGTTTGGTTTAGTTAAGTTTGGAAATTCCGCGAGTATATCTTGGAATTTCGCTGTTGTTACTGGGGAGTTTGAATCAAGTTAAGAGAGCTGATGTGACTTTCTTTGCCTTTTGTGTAATACGAAGTTTCTTTTAGTGTTAATCGCCGTTTCTTGGTGTCAACTAGAAATTCGTATCTCTCTAGAAAGTCCATCCCCAGTATTGCCAGATCTAAGTCGGCTACCGTGAAAACCCAAGGGAATTGCCTCCTGAACCCCAAATCTAGGGTTAAAGTTTTCTGCCCAAATGTCGCAATTTTAGTTTTATTTGCAGCTTGAAGTGTAATTGATGATGTTTCTCGACTAATCTCAGTTTTATTTTGAGGGATGATGCTAAGAGCAGCGCCAGTATCCACCAAGAAATTCAAGCCAGAGTTTCTGTCTCTAACATAAAACAAGCGACTGTTTAGGCGCCCCTCCTCAGTCGTCGCGACCTGGGGAGGGGTTACTCGTTTCCCGCTGTCTTAGAATTATGCTTAGGCCAGGCGCATGGTTGCATGCACTTGGTTGAGTTGACACCAAACTTCCAGTGGTACCAACAAAACTGCCCAGATTGTCTGGACATTTGTGACCTGTTTTGTGACTTGGATCGTGGTCGTTGTGGTGACCTGCTCCTGTTTCTATGACCCATTTGCATTCTGGTGACAGCCTCAGTGAGACTCTTAACACTCGCAATGAGTCCTTCTATTACGGGGTCTTTTGCTGATTCTACTTTTTGTGTGTGATTTATTGTGCCTGATCCAGTTGGAGGACCTCTTTCCATTATTCTGTCGGCTATACGCGCTAAATGAGATAATGAGGTTTCAGGATCCTGTGCATCCAAACAGTGTTGGACGTAGCATGGGAGAGCTTGTATCCATCCTTGTTTTAGGACTGCTTCACCCACTGTGTTATCACCCACTAAGACTTGGAGGTGACGTAAAAACTGTGACGGCGACCGATCACCTAGTGTTTCACCTTGAAAAAGTCTTTGGATTCTTTGACTATCTGATAATGATAAACGGTTCATTATCTCTCGTCTTAAGATGGTGTATGGTTGTGGTGATGGTGGACTTAAAATCAAGTCACGGACTTCTTTGGCGACTGAAGGAGGAAGGATAGAACACAAGTCTCTATAGCGAATCCCTTCAGATTTGATATTGTGTCTCGTGAAATAATGCTCTAGTTGAGCAAACCACAACTCAGGATCACTACGATCAAATTCTGGAAGTCGGGATTTCGTAGTCATAACAGTGTCTATCTCCACTGGTGACAAATCCTCCAGATTATGGGTTTCTATTGAGTCTGACATGAGGTATGTGACAAATATAGCAATAAAGTTAGCACAAAAAGTGGTTACTATAACACGAATAACTTAAGATAATACGGAATAAACTAGTTATATACTCAAATTAGTTTACGGATAATCAGGTCTACTTTTACGATTAAGTAAAAAAAATGTTAATAACAGAAATGAGGTTAAATTTGTGTTCAAAAAGGGCTCACCAATTTCGTGCCTTAAGTAACCCTCGTGCTATTGATAGAAGAAACCAGACAAGTAGTGAATAGGTCTTTATTTCGATCTTAGCGCGGTGACAGTGGAGCATGGGATTATCTGTTCAGACAAACAAAGGCTCTCAACATTCAATATAAGATAATAGGGAATATAACGCTTATACAAAATAAGGAAGTGAATGAATACTTGAACAATACTGTTTTGGCATATGCTTGGTTGTTTGGGGTCAACTCTTAACCAACCAACCCAAGCTGTTACAGACTCTCCATGTCCACCAACCCGGTTAAAGCGCCGGACATTCACTTTTCGTTCTTGCAATTTCATAAACAACACCCACACCACGAGAAGGCAGTGAGTAGGACTTCTCTGGCAGAGGCTATATACGCGTGGCCATGTGAAAGCATTTGGAGAGGGAGAGCGGACTCTCCCCACTCACAGCCGTACCAGGGCATTTGGGGGCATTTATTTCAAACATACCGGGTTTATACACAAACCAAACAGACCACATCGTACCATAAAATAGGAAACAACATTTGCAGATCTAACCAAAAGTGGATGTGAATGTGGGAGGTATTAATCGATAGACAGTGTATAATTCAAGAATGATAAAACGTAGAATAACATTTCTTAAATGAAAATAAAGCTTATGATGAGAGGAACAGGAGTATGAATAGTTTAATTACTTAACAATTATACAATATCAATATCCGTATATTATTGATGCATAAATGGATCCCAAATGATTACCATTTATTATCTTTATCAGGACATAACACAACAAAATATAAATTTGATATGAAATTCTTGATGTTGAAAGGTGTTATATAAATAGAATTCAGTTAAATAAGTCAATGTATGTAAGGAGTTCGGTTTAGATTTACGAACTAGTTTTGCTGAAAGTCAACACTTCATGGAGTTTTGTTTTCTGAATTGGATGGTTTAGTCCTGTTGATAGGAGTGTCCTTTGTAGCTTCATCATCACAGAACAAAACTTGATAATGTGACATGTCTATCATCAGATACGGTTTTCTAATTTCAGTTGTAAATGATTTAATGTTGACTGATTAAACCACTGAATCTGTATACCTGTTGTTATATCCTTAACTTATATGACTATCTAGAAATACGATTGCCAAATTTAGATATGTTGACTTACACGACCAAATTAATGATGTATACACTACCACAAGAAGTGTAAAGTTTCGATTGGTCCTTATTCCGCCAAGCCCTGACTGTCAAGTCTAGAACGCCAATCTCAACCTCCACGGTACGAATCATAATATTTCAAACATACTGAGTTTATATACAAATAAATCAGATCACATCATATCATAAAATAACAATTATGCAATATCAGATCGAAAGTGGTTTTAATTGTAAGAAACTGGGACTAATCAATTGGGATTATCTCATTAATAGTAAATCGTATGATAATAGTCGATAGGTCAAAGAAGAGCTCATAATGAAAGAAATATGAACATACATATAATATAGTTACTTAATAGTCATACAATAAGAATATTCGTATAATATTAGTCCATACATAATTCCTAACGGTTACTATTCATTTATTCTCGTTTGGATATAACATTTGTATACTTATTTCTTATCAGTTCAATGTGCTTCATTATATTTAGTGTATTCCACATTATGTACAGATGAATAGACTAAACTATTTGAAAACTTAAATCCAAATAATAATAATAATAAACTCAAACCCGAATCTTTCCGATTACTGCTTATACTTTTATTACCACTAAAAGATTTGAATCAAAAATTGTGTCTCTGTGCTAATGTTATATGGCAACTCGAACTGATGTATGTACGTCAGAAGTTCTACGATGTTACCGACTGACAGTATTATATACATCAACAAAATGTAAATGATTGGTTAAGTTTAGAAATCTTACCATTTTATTTCGTGCAACATAATCTCGAAGACATTTTTGAATTTTAGTAGCGGCACGTTCTTGTTTGACCATATTCTAATCAAATACACACAGAAAATGATAGAATTGTGAAATAACACACTTTATTTCATTAACAATATAATGTGTTACTTCGATGAAAAACAAACTATATCAAACAATTTTTGTAAGCAATGGTGGATAGTAGCTAGCAGTGGATTCCAGGACGTGCGTTTCGTCCTATTTGGGACTCATCAGCTGGATGTACTTGCTACTCAGAGTTGATGTTCAATCTGGGACTCGAACCCAGTACCATTCGCTTCAAACGCCATCGCGTTATCCACCCAGCTACTGAGTCCTGATGGCCAGTTTCTTGTGCGATGGGGTGAATTTAAATTCACTTGGTATTGTTTGGCTTGTATCTTCCAATTGAGGTTATAGACTGCAATTGATCAGTCTGTTATTGGCATATATGCATAATGTGTGTATGCCTCGATATTGCCTTAATTCGCAAGCTTTTCGTAAGCAATGATGGATAGTGACGATAGGACGAAACGCGCGTCCTGGATTCCACTGCTAGCCACTACCTATCTTTGCTTTTAAAAGCTTGAGATTTAATGCAATGTCGAGGCATACGCACAGTATGCACGTATGCCAATAACAGACGGGTCAATTGCAGTCTTAAACCTCAATGGGAAGATACAAGCCAAACAATACCAAGTGAATTTATATCAAACAATATTTGTGAGAAGACAAGTTTAATGCTACTATATAGTTCTTATTTTCATCGTATTTCTATGTCATTCACCACAAGTATTGTTGTACTGTAGTGAACGAGAACATAAGTGAGGGGACAATCGAATGTATTTCAACACAAAATTATAGAACATCTTAGTAAAACCTGAGAATCATACGCTAAAAATAATTCATTTTTGCAACATGTTAATCAATCATCTCAGGTTTCATTGTTCTTTTGTTTTCACACCAATCATTTTTCGTTCTCGTTCTCTTTTCTTCGATCTTCTTAACCTTCTGCCTACAGATATTTCACTTTCCATTGACGATACATACTACTAATATCAGTCGATATCAGTAGCACACACCGCAGTACCAAAAATCAATAAAGCCCCCAAATGCCCTGGTATGGCCGAGAGTGGGGTGGGTTCGCTCGCCCTCTCGAAATACTCTCACACGGCCACGCGTATACAGTTTCTGCCAGGGAAGTCCTACTCATTGCCTTCTCACACCAGGGGTGTTGTTTATGAAAATGAGAGGACGAAAAGCGAATGTCCGGCGCTTTAACCGGATTCCAGAGCTGAGGCAGCACTAATCGATTGAATCCCCATTAACAGTCGGTTATGTGCTGTTAGATTAGAGAGTTCCATCAAAGTGAGAAGAAATCGGCGTGAGAAACGATGTCTTTTCGTCATCTCCGCCTATACTCCGACAGATTGCAGCCCGGATGCAATCAAGGATGAGTTTTACCACCAGTTATCTGTTCTTCTCCAGAAAGTGCGTTCGACAGATATTGTAGTACTAGCCGGAGACTTGAATGCTCAGGTCGGGCGTCTAGGCACAGAAGAGAGTACTTTAGGTGGCCGATGAGGAATTGTTGGTCGCAGGACAGATAATGGGGACCATTTACTGTAACTGTGCACAGACCACAACCTGTTTCTGGCTAGCACTAACTTTCCACACAGTCATCGCCGATGTGCCACCTGGCGTTCTCCCTATGCATCTCAGGCCTGGACTCAGATTGATCACATCGCGGTCAGCTACCACTGGCGTGGTTGTGTACAAGACTGCCGCTCCTTTTGGAGTACCTATCTGGACTCTGACCATGCCTTGGTCTGCGCCAATTTTACCTTACTTTTCAGTGGACAACGAAGTGACCGCCACCAACGGATTGATATTAGCAAGCTGGTTGCAACTTCTGTTGCAAGTAAGTATCGAACCGAGCTAGCCTCTAGGCTAGCTACCACTCCACCGAAAATTATAGATGAGCATTGGTTGCAATTGCATGACGCCATGAAAATGGCGGGTACAGTCAGTTGTGGGTTTGCGAAACGTCCCGCTCTTAAGCACTGGGTTTCCTCTGGTTCCTTACAACTCATTGAAGCCCGTCGGTCTACTTCGGGTGACCGTGAGTTTGACCACAAACGAAGGATGTTACGTAAGGAAATTGGGCAAAGCTTGCGTAAGGACCGAGAAACCTGGTGGTCGGAGCGTGCTATGAGCTGGAACCAGCAGCTGCATCTGGTAATTGCCGGAAGCGCTTCCAACCCATCCGGGCCACTGGCAGCAAGAAGTCTGGTGTGAGCGAAACAATCTGCGAGGATGATGGGATGCCAATCACTAACATCCATCGACGTCTTGGACGATGGGAAGAATTTTTCGAAGGGCAGTTCACCTGGCCTGCTGCTCCGGCAACACCTGTCCTGCCCTCCATGGCCGGTGACGACTGATCCACCAAATGGGGCGGAAGTTCGCAAGGAACACCAACTCTTGAAGCGTTACAAATCACCTGGCCCAGATGACTTACCTCCGGCTCTTTTGAAAGATGGTGGAATTAGTCGATATTTGTCCCTATCTTTAAAAAGGGTCCACGTCGTTCCTGTAACAACTATCGGGGGATAAGTCTACTTCCGATTGCGTCCAAGCGATTGGCTTCCGTCATACTTCGTAGGTTGTTCAAAACCCGAGAAAGATTGACTCGCGAGGAGCAGGCAGGGTTTCGTCCCGGTCGAGGTTGTACTGATCATATCTTCACACTCCGCCAAATTTTAGAACACCGCCATACTTATCAAAGGCCAACAATCATATTGTTTCTTGACATCGGGGCTGCCTTCGATTCGTTGGATAGGACTGTTCTCTGGGATTGTCTATTGAAGAAGGGTGTGCCTGAGAAGTTTATTAACATCCTAAAAGCCCTATATACAAACACCTCAGGCAGAGTGAGGGCATACAACCACCTTTCCCCATTGTTCTATTCGAGCAGTGGGGTTAGACAGGGTTGCCCAATCTCACCATTCCTCTTCAACTTTGCCATCAATGACATTCTGGAAACAGCTCTGAATGTAAGTAATGGTGGTGTGGATCTGTTGCCTGGAGAAAGACTTCTCGACTTTGAGTATGCGGATGATATTGTCTTACTGTGCGATAATGCCCAAGGCATGCAATCCGCACTTAATCAGTTGGCAATCAGTGTCCGTAGGTATGGTATGTGCTTTGCACCTTCGAAGTGCAAAGTACTTCTACAGGACTGGCAGGATTCCAATCCTGTACTCACCCTGGATGGTGAGCAGATAGACGTAGTCGAGAAGTTCGTGTATCTGGGTAGCTGCATAAGTGCTAGTGGGGGTGTGAGTGATGAGATCAACGCACGAATAGTGAAAGCCAGAGTAAGAAATAAAACAGTCTGGTCTTAATTAACTGGCAAGTGAGTGGCCTATAAAACTCATATACTTCAATAACTTATGACATTTAATCATATTTATTGTTGTATCTAGTGTTTTGTACATAAATATGTGGTCACTAAAAATACTGCGTTAGCTAGTTATCTTGTCTTTTGATATCAATCTAATTGTGGCCTGCGTCTACAACTTCGTTTGGTGAACAATTAATCGTCAGTCATATTGTATTATCAATAAATCAACATCCTAATTATCCATCCAACAATTTAAAACCTATTCACCGAACTTAAAACCTCCCGCGCAACAGTACTCCAAAGCAATTTTAAGATGGTAGCTTTCAACTCTCGAACCGATATTTCACACATTATTTTCATTCTCTACTCCAAGTATCACTCCTATAGTTACTAGCGGTATTTCAATAGCACTATGTTCCCCATGTTCTGTTTACAAAATATGAACTAGACACATTCGTATCCTATAGATGAATTACGTTTGTTTTTTACATAATGGATACATCTTATACAGTTTGCATGTAGCCAACAATGATTCTGTGAAATAAAACGAATTTATCACAACCCGCAAATGTTATGTTTGTTAAAATAAGTAAATGAATACATGAATAAAGCATTACCTTTTGGGTATGATCAAGCACTAATGATCGCTTTGATTTGTAATTCCCTTCAAATGAGTACATTTCAACGTATATTTCCAAACTTATAATAGTATAAAACCTTTCCCATCCACAATAATCCAAAAAGGGAAAGTCATAACAGACCTCTTGTTCTTATAGTCCCAAAAACACTAAGGAAAAAATGTGGACAGTGCTTTATTATTACTCCTGAGTATATCAACCCTTCAAATAGTAAGGAATCATCTCTCCAGGTAAAAAAAGTTAACCACGGACTAAAGAGTTGCTTTCAATTGTGAATTTGTCACTTATAGACCAGATATTGAAGAAGACTTTTCGGTATATTTATTATTAATTTAAACACGAAAACATTGGTACAATAGGGACCAAAATATATATGCACCGCAAAAGGTAGCCATCATTCACTTGGCGTGTGAGCTGTGATGATGTCCAGGTCGCCAAACCGAAACAGGTGGTCTTCTTAAAAGCCTACTCCCCAAGCTGTTGACCTAGAGGTTTAATCCACAAGGCAGTGGAGTAGCATTAGGAGATGCAAACCCCAAATGCCATGATACGGCCGAGGGTGGGGAGAGTCAGCTCTCCCTCTCAAAATTCTCTCACATGACCACGTGCATACAACCACTGTCAGGGACTTCCTACTCACTGCCTTTCCGCGGCATTACTGTTGTTTACAAAAGTGAGGGGACAAAAAGCGAATGTCCGGTGCTTTAACTCGGTTGGTGGATCCACCTAAGGGAGTTAGAAAATCCTGATTCAAAACCAATGGTGTAAATGGGCTCCAGGATTTTAAAGGAACAAAGGGTGCATGAACCGGCTACCACATGACTGCATTTCCTAAAGCTGCTCCACAGCCTTGTGGATTAAAAATCCAGGTCAGAAGCTCGAGGTGTGGCCACCTAGGAAAACTACCTGCTTCGGTTTGGGAATCAAGACAGTATTCCAGCCCTCACACAAACCGAGTGATTTATATGGCGCATATGTATTTAGTGCCTTCTTGTACCAATGTTCATTTA